GGGAATTGAAGTAAACTGCAGTAATACTGTCCTATTAATACACCTGCTCTATGTTAGTGTACGTTTTTAAACACATTTATCAGATTTTGTTCACCCTATAAGCTATATACTTTAACTTATTAAATTTAACTACATCAGTTACAAACTGGTATAAGAGAATAGGATGCTAATTTTAAATACAGAGTTATCATGCAACTATGAAAGATTAGTTTTCTAAGGTTTTAGATAGAGTTACTGCTTCTGTTCAGTTCCGATTTATCCTCCAAGTGCATGCAAAGTTATTGCTGCTATTTATTAAGCTTCCCTTTTTTTCCAACTTGACATTTTGAGCATTGGTTCATGGGGATCACACATTTGATTTTTTTTTAATTAATTTTTTTTTTTTTTACTGCTGTGTTTCCCCCTTTGGAACCGCCCTACCCATGGGTATGGTCTGCATCAGCAGATCGGGCTGAACGCGCAGCCGTTCACACTGTGGTGGCTGAGGGGCAGGGAAAGAAGAGGTTCCTCCTTCTCTGCTCTGTCACTGCCTACAGTTTTGGCAGCTCTGGCATTTACCTTGTCTTTTGTTAACCTGGCTTAGTAACAAAGAGGAGGATTTATTTGGCTTTTATTTGGTTAGTTAAACCAGTGCACAGAACTATCTAGCATGTGCTGAGGCAGTGGCAGCAAAGCCTGACACAATCCAGAAAGGCTAAATTTTTCCTTTACTCATGTTAGAGTGTTAACTTGGGGTGCTGCTGATTACACCTAAATCATCAGTGCCTTTTAGTTATAAAAATAATGCAACAAGGTTAAAGATGCATAATAAACACTCTTGCTTACACTTGCACTGTTAGTCAGAAAGGCTTTTTTTTATATTTATAACTTTATGTACGTGAATTTTAGTGCTCCAACCAAACGTTGGCAATTGTTTAGCACAATTATCTAAGGTAAACACTTAAACATTACTTTTGGTTATTCTGTGGCAAGGTCAGTTTTTTTTCCTTTTAAATTACATGCAACTTACAGTAGAACTGGAACATTATATATATGCAACAAACCAGGTATCTCAGATTAACCTTATTTCTACCTTCTTGATCAAAGTTAGTTGTAGCACTTGGAAAAAAAAATGAATTGAAGGATTTATAGTGAAAATACTATGCATGTTTAGGTATGGCTGCTGGTAAACAGCAACTTAAAAAATGATCCTTTTGTAAGAAAATCAGTTGAATACAGAAGAACACTAAAAATGTAAGAACTTGAGTGATTCCTATTGTAATATTTTTGAGAGAGGTTTCAGAACCTGTAAATTAAACTTTTCTAGTTCAGCTAGCCATGTTACATAATATACATAGCCAGTTAAGTACAGCTGTCTTCTAATACTTGTGTAAAAAAACCCTCAAGATTTATGGAATTTGTAAATAATGTACAATTTGTAAAATGTTTTGCAAAAAAAAAAAAAAATCTAGTATTTGAAATGACAGTATTTTTATGTATGAATAGCACAGCAACAACTGTGAACGATGTTAGAACACTTATTTTTAAACATGCATAGCAACGTTGCTACTTCTGTCCCAGGAGCAATATGAATGCCTCTTACTGATACCAATGAACTCGGCTCCCAGGAAGCACAACTGGTAAACTTATTTCTGAAGTAGCTGCAGTGATTTAGATGTTCTTCAGTCTCCTTGCTTGGCTTGAAACAATCTTACCAGACAACTCTCTCTGTGCCCCATGTTTACCAGGTATTTAATTATTATCCTCCCCAGACAGCTAATCGAGGCACCTTTGTTTTTATATTTGACTCTGCACTCCCTGTATGTATGTATGTAATATTTGCTAACTAATATGTGATAACTCGTTTTAACTTACCTAGGGTGCCTATTTATTTTTTTATAAATGTCCTCTCCCGGCTATAGATTTGTATAAGAGCCTAGACAATTTTTGTAACAGTAAAGATATTAACAAGTCTTGTAATTAATATATATTTTTCAGTCTTTAGAATTATTTTCTTGCGAAGTTCTGCTTGTTCAAAATATCAAGATAAAAATTTAAAATCTTTGGTGTCTGTTCTTTTTTTACTTCACATTTAAAAAAAAAAGTTGGCTTTCCAGAACTGCATTTTTGAAGTTAACGCTGCTATTGATGGTTGAAAGTTTTTGCAGAGATGGTGGTTCAGTTGCCTTTTCTGAACAGTAAAATTTGAAGTATTTGTTTATTAAAGCTGTTAAATAGATTAAACTTTTTTATACTCATGAAATGCATAAAGCGATTTTAATACCATAATCCCTCATATCTGGTGACAAATGACTGATTTAATTACACCAGCTCTCTTTTCACCTTTATTAGAGATAAGCAAAGTTTTCCTGGATATATGTATTCCTGAACTCCAGGTGCTGTGAAAGAGCTTGAGTCCAGTGCAGCACAAGCCTGCACTTTGTTAGCTCTTAAGTTTTCTGAGATAAGTAAAACCTTGGATGCCAGATCTGCCTGAAGGAGAAAACTAGATCACTAGAAGATACCTTGAAATTTGACTTTCTAAAGGCTATAAAGCTGAATATCACCTGTCTTCCTTAACAAAAGAGAAATGGAGCAACACTGCAGTGCTTAATAGGTTGTTCCCTTGAGATTTCCCTGGTGAAATCATGCCAGAGGGGAAAAAAAATAAAATATAATAATAATAATAATGAAAAAAGAGTAGGGTTCCAGTTTTTTAGAGAATTTCGCTACTTTTTTTACTTGTGAGAATGGAATCACAATTCAATGCTCTTCTGCACCCTGAGTCAAGATCTCTGAAAGCCCTGACTGATTTCATAGGTAGCAGCAGCCAAAATCATAAGTGTCAGCAGGGAAGGGCATCTCCATTCTTACAGCATAGGTCTGACACATAAAACAAGCCCCTCTCACTGGCAGATTTGTCTTTAACAATGAAGGAAAAATAAAGGGAAAGAGCACGTGCCCACTTTTGCATCCCAGATCCCAGGAGAGAGGCCCATTTTCACTTAATGTGTTAGGAAACACCAAAACACTTGACACTTCAAAGTCTCTACAATCTAGTTATTATATTTATTCCTGAAAAAAAAACCAAACCAACTATGAACTGTGCTTCTTAGAATTAGAAACTGGCATTCTCAAGGGAAAAATACTAAAGAAAACTGAGCCCCCTTCATCCATAGTTGGAAGACTGTCTTCTCCAAAACCTGACTGGATACAAAGCTTACTATAAATATACACATATATATATAAATACTGACCCTGAGGAGGCTCAGTAACTGCTGAAGGTAGAGAAGAAAGAAAGGTGTAATAGAAACCCAAACAGCACCGAAGCCTCGCACTTAACTTTTTGGAAGTAAAACAGCTGGTTAAGCTTCACCTGTTGTGGGAACAGGTCTGAGTTACAATTTGAGTCTAGGCAAGAGCAGGGTTTTATTCTCGGCCACTCTGCAGAGTGTCCTTTCAGTGGGTTTTATTCAAGCAGTGCTTTCTTCCCTTTCTGCTGCACAAACCTTCAGGCACTGATTACACAACCCCAGTCCATCCATCTTACACAACGTTTAAGGCACAGTTTAGAGCACAGAAACAGGACACAGGTAAAAACCTGTAGCGGTAATACTGTGACACAGACAGAGATTATTTTATGGTATTACTATAAATATCTGCCTCTTGCATCCAGCTGCAAGTGGAGCCGTGTTCCCAGCTGCTTATCCCGCACAAATGGTCCTCCTCCTCCACTGTTCGTGTTTACGAGGTGCATCCCGCGGCGACACAGCGACTCTGCGGGAAACAGAAAAGGCCTGGTTATTTTTGCAGTGCTTTTGTGCGTTTGGTTTGAATTCATTTGCCACTTCCTGAGAAGCGTTTGTGCTTCCCAGGCCTTCTGTGGGACTTTCCGGGGCAGGAACGCCGCGGCTGCTCCCAGGGGCCTTCCCTCCGCAGGCACAGCCCCTCAGAGCTCCCTTCTCTGCCTCCTGTTATCCCCCGGCCACCCCCGGGGGCCCCCCCTCACCTGGGCCCGCGCCCTCAGGGCAGCAAGTAGATGACCACGAAGAGCGCCAGGTCGAAGAGGACGAAGAGCCACAGGTCCAGCCAGTAGGACTGTCCCGACAGTGACAGCGATCGTGACAGCGGCTGGCCGCCATTCCCCTGCTCCAGCCGCCCATTCCGCTCCTGCCGCCGCTCCTGCGGCCGCCGCGCCACCGCCTCCATGTCCTCAGGGCTCTCCCGGCGGCACCAACGCGCAGGCGCCACCGGCTCTTCCGGGTTCCGGGCCAATGAGAGCGGAGCGCACGTACCGCGGCCACGCCTCGCGGACCCAGCGCGGCGGCACCGCCCTTCCCGCGTCACGTGCAGGCCCCTCCCACATCAGGGGCGGCACCGCCCGTCCCGCCTCACGTACTGCCCGTCCCGCCTCAAACACCGCCCGTCCCGCCTCACGTACCGCCCATCCCGCCTCAAACACCGCCCTTCCATCTCAGGCACCGCCCTTCCCGCCTCTCGTACTGCCCCTCCCGCCTCAGGTACCGCCTCAGGTACCGCCCCGCCCTTCATCTGCTCAGGGTCCTCCCCGCCCCTACCGCATCAGGCACCACCCCTCCTTCCTCAGGGACGGTCCCGCTCTTCGCGCCTCAGGCACACCCCTTCTCGCCTCTCCCGCCTCAGAGATCGCACTTCCCGCCTCAGGCACTGCCCTTCCCGCCTCAGGCACGGCTCTTCCCGCCTCAGGCACACCCCTTCCCGCCTCTCCCGCCTCAGGGACGGACCTTCCCGCCTCAAGCACTGCCCTTTCCGCCTCTCCCGCCTCAGGGACGGACCTTCCCGCCTCAAGCACTGCCCTTCCCGCCTCTCCCGCCTCATGCACGGCTCTTCCCGCCTCAGGCACTGCCCTGTCCCTCCCGTCCCACACACCAATCGCGCCCTTCATCTTCTGAGGTACCGCCCTGCCCCTCACGCCTCAGGGACCGCCCTTCCCGCCTCAGGGATCGCCCCTCCCTCCTCAGACACCGCCCTTCCCGCCTCAGGGGACCACGCCCGGGTGTGGGGAAGAGCGGGTTGCCAGTCCTGTCGAACCGTGTTGGTCTTGTTCTGTCAGGTGTACTCGGACTTGGGTGGGAGTAAATATCCACAAGTTAATCATGGTACGGTTTATTGGTGAGCAGATGATGCCCTGAAAGAAACCAAGAGATCATGTGGGAAATCCTGTTGTGAAGAAGTCTGGGAAAACTGAAGTTGTTTTAAGATACGCTCCTCTCCTTGAAGGTTAGTTGGTGTTTGTACACGAAACAAACATGGAAAAGTTCATGTAGATGGTGTATTCTGTGTCCTTTGTTTATGCAACACACAGCTGCAGGAGAAATTAAATGGAGCAGCACAACCTGATGCCACGCTCACAGTCAGGATGTGCCGCCCTCAGTCCAGCCAGTTCCCTTCATATTGAAAGCAGGGCAATTATTTTCATCGTGTCCAGAAGAGTGACCAGAAACCTAGGAAAATGCTAAACAAAAACTTCTTCTTTGTAGCTATTAACCCTTTTTAGCCTCATATTAAGAGACAAGGCAATGCATGCTGAAGAATGCAGTGCAGGTGTATCTGAACAGAGCTCACTTCTCAACATGCACTTCGGGATAGTTATTTTCCTTAATAGGTTCTGTCAGTAGAAATAAGGATGAATGTGATTTCATATAGCAAATTTTGGTTAAGCATATGTGTGTTAGGTGAAGTATATTAGAGTTTTTGGGGAGAAACAATGACAATACTTCCCCTTTAAGCCTTGTACCCCTCTGTGTTACCTCGCTAGAGCAAAAGGAGCTGTGGTTTGTGGGTTTACTGCCTGTATCAGGAGAGCCTTTTTGGCAGAAGAGGGAGCTGTGAGATGCTGAAGACATCATATTTTACTCCACGTTTATACTTACATAGAACAGTCTTGGAGCCTTGGGTGTTGTCAGGTTTATTTTAGGTTTTGCCATCCTTATTACACAACATACAATACACAGAGAAACTGTTTCTCAGTATAAATACTAAAGAAGGTTAGTAAGGAAACTAACTTGCCATTTGATAACCTGTGCAAAGATATTTAAGTTTTGCTTATGCAAAATAGTTTCTGCAGCCCTTTATCTTATGGCACTCGGGTAGGACTTGGGAAAGACATTTTAGCATATGGTAATTGGATTTTTTTTTTTTTATTCAAGGCAAAACAGTAACATAAGGAACTAGCCTGCATTTTCACCAGGGCTAGGTAATTGCAGCTTAGGAGATGCTGCGAGGGGATAAAATAGAAAAAAACCCAGCAGAGGATGTGTAGAAAATGGTCTTCTTTCATTGCTCCTTCATTCTGGTGCTGTTCTGGGTGAAGTGCTCAGCCCCTTTTGAAGATTCTCTTGGATTCGACTCCTTCATATATATAGGTCTGTTAAGAAATGAAGAAGAAAAATCAGTGGCTGGTATTGCAAAGTTCCCTTTCACAGATGCTGTTGAGAAGGGGTCAGTAATAAAGGAATGAACTGTGAGGGGTGGCTGTGCAGGCTCTGGGGAGAGGAACATAAGGAAAGCAGCCTGTTGTCAACAGGCATAAATTCTCTGTGCAAATGTCTGAACCACCATGGGGCAGCTTTTGGGGTCTCAGGAAAAACCCAAAGGACACTTGGAAAAGGGCCTTTAGCCACAACACATCTATACAGTGTATATTTACTTATCTGTCTGTCTCCTGTACAGAACTTGTATACAGGCTTCAGAATGCATGGATAAGATGCAGTTTGCATGTGGAGGAAACATAAAAATCACAGGTTGTGAGTTTTATTGTAAAGTGTTAAATTTTGGTAGGTGACTGGAGGATTTTAGATAAAGATAAATGAAGTTATTTGGCTTTGATGAAATATTCCTACTTTCAGAGCAGCTTTTACATTTTTTTCACTTCATTCTGTTGTAAAGTTGTGTAAGTAACTGCTTAACTCACCTGAACAAGTTCATCACCTACAATTTCTCTGTATGCTTTGAGTACTTTTCCATTGTCTTTTCTGGTAAATGTGCCCACAAGTTTATTTCCTTCCAGGTTCCAATTTCCCTATAATGGGAAAAAAAACCCAAATATTTTGCAACAGTTCTGACACTGATTTGATTTAAAGGCTGCAGAATGCTTTCAAAGATAAAACTAAAACAGTGTAATAATGTTTTTATAGAAAGGCTGTAAAAATGAAATTTTAATAAAACCATTAGTTCATTTAATTGCATAACAGTCAAGCTAGATACTTTTTAGTGGCCAGTACACCTTATTTTAATTAATTGTATCAACAAAGGTAGTTTCCTGTAAATACCCACTCTGTACTCTAGGTGGTGGACTTGAGCATTGGAATAAGTAAAATTACAATCACCTGGATTTCATCGCATGAAAATTGCCACTTGCTCCGCGTTTTTGGGCTCTCTGTGGAACCCTGAGTTCCATAGGTGAACCATTACCAGTTAAGACTACCTTGTGCTTTTGTATATAAGCTGCAAGCATTCCTGAACAATCACTCTTGCAAAGTAACATTTAAATTTAACACTAGGAAGACAAGTAATTTATCTTGAAACTGTATTCATGAAGGTATTATCATATAAAAAATATAAAGTTGTATAGGAAGACTCTTACCTTCATTTCAGTCCCATCAGCCAGGCTGTAGTCAAAATCGGCTCCCAGGGTGAATTCCAGCTCTATGGTACGGAAGTTACTGGCTTCTTTGACAGTAAATTTGTTCCCATCTTGCTGGATAGTGATCTTCAGGTTGTCATGGGCGCCCAGCTTCCTCTTCATCATGTTAACACCTGGCAAAATCAATTAACATCCATCGGAAAAGAAACACCCAAACCCCTTGAGGATCATATTTATCGCTTTTTAGTGACTTTCACGTGGTCCAAGAGAGTTTATTCCAGCATTCTGACCCAATTTTTTGTTCTTTTTCTCTTTTTATTGAGGCCATATTCACCAGTACACATATAATACAAACCACTGTCTAACTCGGGTGGTTATGTTTATATCCATATAATGCACAGTCTGTGCAAACTTAAAGTAAGTATCAGGATGTTAGAATTACTTGAGTTGTGTTTCTATAAAATTGAAGAATGATGATTTCCTCCCTGGGTAATTTTTCAAATAGTTTAATGTTATCAAAATAATATTCCTGCTATAGAATTCTCCTTATAGTTTATAATGCAAATTCTCTGAGCCTTTTCCTCAAATGTGGACTTAGGGATTCTTTTTTTTCTGCTGAAATAAAGCTGGAATTAATTGAAGTGCTCAAGATTAATATAACATAATCAGAACATTTCTCAGCACCTTTTATCCTCCCCCCCCCATGAAATATTTTGAAAGTCAATGCAGTACACTGTGCAAGGGCAGAGCAAATAGTGAAAGGACAGGCTGTCCCAAAGGTAGTTCAGAGGCAGCTCGAGTTTGTATTCAGCTGGAGTGGCATTTTTCCTGCAGAAGGCATTGGAAAAGCGAGACTCACCCAGCGCCTCCATGAACTTCTCATAGTTTTCATTTCTGTCTATTTTCCAAGTGCCGTCGAAGGCCATGGCTGTGTCTGTAGCAGCTGCTCTGAGGTGATGTGTCTTTGCCAAGGGAATTTATGTGCTGCCTTATCTGGAGAGCAATTTACAGGATGATGTGGCTGAGTAAAGCTCAACTGATGCACTGATCTTTGCAAGGAGAACTTTAGTTTAATCAAATTTCCAGTCCTGACAACACTGCTTGCTGAATCTCTCTCTTATTGCCCCCAGATCATGGCAGTATCTTTATTGCTCATCTTAATAAAAAATTGCTAATCCATTCATTCTATCCACCATGCATAGTAAAAATCAGACATCTAGTGAAAGCAGTAATTAAAATAAGAGCATTTCTTGATATTTTCTATCTCTATTGTATCTTCATGCTTTTGTGAGAGCCTTTATGCAACTGGAGAAAATACTATTTACCCAACAAACCAAACACAAATGTCTACTTTGTCCATTATAATTTGGTAGATGTCTGTTCTGCTCAACATCATAAGCAAAGGGCAGATGATTCACTGAATGTCTGCAGTTGTTTCAAAAAAACAGTCCTCTTGTTTCCTATCTAATGCTGAACTATGAAAATTGGGATGATGTTCTGTATTCACGGGCTCACTCTTTAACATGCAGTTTAAATTCTGAGCAGCTTCTACAAATTTTCTTCACTGCAACACATCAGTGTGTATCTGACACATTCCTACAACAGAAAAAGAGGTGCAGCTGAGTGAATTTACCCGATGTGGTTGGTTTCTCTGATTCCATAATTTTGCCTGTTCAAGGAGAATGCAGAACATGAGTCTTTCCTGACTTAGCTGCTTCTTCGCCCGCTCCCCTTCCCCTCTAATTGGTGCCACTTCAAACTGAGCAAAACTATTGCCCCAGCTTTTGCCTTTGCCCAGTTCAGGGTTATAGTTATTCTGTTCCCAGGGATGCCATCAGCTTTGTTCTGTGTCACCTTCAAAATGTAAATGTGAATCCCAATTGGTCAGCGTGCATTTAACAACAACAGTTAGGTCTCAGTATGTGGTTTTTACATTTACTTTCTTTCCACGATTTCTTGCAGTTTTCTATCACCTGAATAACTCTGTGTCTCAAAAAATGTCATAGCCCATGCCCAGACCTGAGCTATTCACAGGTGTCCATCTTACCCTTCAGCCAGCTCAGGAAATGGGCAAACTGAGTTTCTACTTAGAGCTAAATTGTCTTTTTGTTGCACTGGCTCGTATCTTGACCTTTGTAGTTATGACTGTCAGTCTGTGTTATCTGTTGAGTATCTATACATAAACAAAAACACCTGGTGCCTAGTTATAGTTCATCCAATTTATTGTTACATAACAAAATTGGTAACTCTCTTTAGTCTTTGCAGAGGTTCTTTCCGATGCTGATGTGCTGCAGCTTCTGCTGTATCCAGTAGAAAACTGAGGCCTGAAATAATGTGAATTACTCACATCATTTGAGGCATCTGTATCTGTAAAATCCAACAACTAGGAAGTGACCTTTTATTTTGAGCATTTCAAGAAAGCTTTTTTTAGGTGTGTTCTGCATTCTCCCCGAGAACCTGCTCTTTCATTTAATTTAAGAAATTCTAAGGTATCTGAAGTTAGTGTTTATATATTTAAACAAGGTTAATGCTACCAATTAATTTCCACATTTGATTCCAGCCTGTCTGCTTAACCTCTGAAAAGGTAACTCAGAGTAGTGACATTCTGCAGGTTAAGTATAATTTCTACACCAAACTTACTCCAGCAGCTTTTCTGAACCTTAAAAAGGAGGGAGGTGGTTGTGGAGCAAGTCTTCAACTATCAGGAAGATTCTCAGATGTGCTTTTCCAATCAGTTATCTGACAATTTGTTGTGCTCCCCCTTGTGATTCTTTAGTGTCTCTCAGAAGTCAGGCCAACTCCAAACCTTTTCACCATGGGAGCAGCGAGTAGCTGGGTCCTGAATTTCCCATCTAAGCTTGTTGTTCCATTCCTGTCCCAGTTTCCCCTTCCTTGACATTTTTTTCACTGGGCATGAGTCCCTCGGGTCCTGTTCAGATCAGCCCCACAGATCTGTCAGTTAAGTAAGAACCACAGGTGGTCAATATTTATGAGTTTGATGGTTGGTGTAGTGCTGACAGCACAAAGAACTGTTTTTCTCTGAGGTCTGGTGGAATGTCACTGCTACAACAAGGGACTGTCTTTAATCTCTCACAATTTACATGAGTTGCTTGGGACTGTTAATGCACTAAAATATGCAAAATCTGACTTAATTTTTTTTACATGTACTGGAATCATATGATATATATTTCGCTCAGAGTACTTTTGTGTTCCTATAATAGCTGGTTTTCCCTTTAAAGTGTTTCTATAGATTTTTTTTTTTAGTCTGAATATTCCACAACTCTTTCCCTTCTTCTCTCTACCTCTTCCTTGTGTGATTTTTCAGAACTACAAGTTTTACTTAGATGGTGTCTTGAAATCTTTATTTTTTAGTATTACTGGATCCAGGAAAGTCTTGAAAGCTAAGGGTCTATTCTTGGCTTTGTGGCTTTCTGCAGCGTGCCAGCTTCAGAACACTGAAAATGGGCAAACATTAACTTTGAAGTTTGATCTTTAAGTGATGTGGATGGGAATAAATTATTAACTTAAATGGTCGTGCCAATCTCATCGTGCCGATCTGCGACTATCACAGCAAGCTGTATTGTGATGGTAATTAACAATGAGGTTCCAAAGATCAGGGTGACAAAAAGGCTTTTGCAGTGGGTTATGCTTATCTATCCTCTTTGTTGTTTCGTGGTTTGCACTGGAGTTGTTCCTGCCTGAAATTAGCTGGGACAATAGAACTCAGCTTTACCATGGAGTGATTAAGGCTTGATGCCAGCCTAAACATAATATGCATCTGAAAATATTAATATATACAGTGTTATGTAATGAAAGAGAGATTAATCCCTGGTAAAACTATGCAGATTGCTTTGGCAGTACTTCTATGTGTTTTCTACTGAATGATTCTTCAGTATGTCTTGGGATGGATTACAAAGATGGCTGGGCACTTAAACCATTTAAGTGCCCCTGGCTCCCTTATTGTGAAGTTTTACTAAGCGTTTTAAAAACCACAGTACTCCATTTTATATCAATATGGTGAACAGATAATTCCATGCCAGCAAAGGCAGCTTCAGCATAACTCTGGGCGGCCTGGCAACGGGGAGCTTGGTGGAGCCTAACTAATGCCATCTCTTGGATACATCATTTCAAAGTACATATTGTGGCTGAGTGTTGTACTGCAGCAGGATTGGATTGGTTTGGATAGATATTGTCCTACTCCAGCTGCCTCTTTGCTAAATTTCTGGTTTTGTTTTGGCTCAAGGAGAATCTCATGGATGCTACTACCATGCAATCTGTTCAACACGAGGATTCAACATTGGAAGATTACTTAGAAATTTCCAGTGAGTACAGATCCATTTGTCTGATTAGTTAGTGCTGAGTCTTAAAACTTACTCTTAAGTGACTGCATGCACCCCTTCTTCATTTCTGTGTAATGGCTCTGATCTGTAAAGTGCTGCATGGTTTTGAGAGCTGCTTATTGAGAGAACTGAAGTGCATGAGCTAATAAGCTCCAGGTTAAAAAAAATCTAGAAGCAAAATTTAGGATTTTCTTAAAGCAGTAACAACCCTGGTATTTACTTCATCCAATTACTGCGTGTTAAAATGAATCCTATGGTTACCTAAAATAGTAGAGTCTGGTCTTGTTTCAATGCAAAGAGGGTGACAGTGAACAATGGCCAATGAAAATAAGTGTGCTTCTCTAGGAAAGGTTATATGAATCTCTGAGTATTAGTGCCATTTGTCACTTGCCACATAGAGACTGATATCCCAGTTGTCCTTAGGGCTTTGTGTCGGGCTTATCTAGGGTATTGAAATCTATACCTGAATACTCTTTTCCTGTATTCTCCAGTTTCTTTTTGTTCAGAATGTGGAATGTGATCAAAGGGTGGGAGTGAGTTATCGTCCAATGAACTAACTGTGTACAGTATTGGAAGTCTGCATCAGTCATTTCAGTTTCTCCAAAATCTGAACTGCACTTTTAGCTCGTTTCAACATAGCTTTTTGCTTATTGTACACTTTTGCTCTTGGTTATGATATAGCTCCAAACTCCACCGGAGATTATTGTGATTATTTGGATTAGTGACTTGAATCTGATCTTATCTGAAAAAAACAGTGAGTTTCAGAGTTCTTCTGAGCTCAGCATAAAAGCAAGAGAGAACCCTATATGGCTCAGATATTTAAATATTTGTATATGCAAAAGGAAAAGATGGTTTCTGATAAAACATTCTTTTCTTTGTGTCTCACATAAGAGCAGAACAGACATTCATATCTTGGTTCTCTTTCTAGCACAGAAATGGACTTTCTATGTGACCTTGATCAAATTCCCCCTCTACTTATCTGTAAAATGTACTTTCCTTCCATTAAGCAGCTGTATATACCATAAAATAAATTGCCAGTGACTTGATTAACTAGTACAGTGAAAGGATTCTGAATGCCTATATGTGAATGTATCATGTAAACTAGTGGTATGTTTTAACCATGGGCTTTACTTTTTTTGGTGCTGTTAAACAAAAGAAACCCGTGTATAGATTTTCAGCCATTACAAAGCACTGGGTGGGCAGTGCTTTGGCCTAAAAATTATTTCCTAAAAATCGTAAAGGGTGGGATTTCATAGGAATCTGAAATGCGTGTCAGCAATAGCTGTCACCACTCTTACTAAAAATATGGCTGGAGGAAAGAGCCATTGTCTTTTTACATTTCTTAAAAAGGCATCACTGTTGTGCAAGATGTGAAAGACTGAGTGTAAAATTCTTTCACGTCTTCACTAAAAATGCCCTTGTTCAAGGTTAGATTCTGGGTAAGAAATGTATTGCAGTACTCACTCCTGCTGAAAACTGTGCCACTGCTCAGAGGTGAATTCGAACATTCAGCAGGCCAGAAGGACTGAGCAGGAGCACGACTAGGTTGGGAGGGGGCTGGAAAGGCTGCAATCCCAGCAGCAAATGGATGCCTGATGTATGGAGATATACATAGGCAGTTGTGCAGTTGCACTCATAAATTGCAGTTGGTTCGAGCAAACAGTGCTTGTGTTTTGTGCTCAGCTAAATCTGGCCCTTCATAAGTTTTTCAATGAGCCTGCTGTTTGTCAGGGATGGACATACTTCTTGGTTTTGCCTAGAGCTAAAAAAAGTTAAGCCAGAAGTGTTGCTGTGCAGGACCTAATAGGCAAAGAGCAGGAATTGCCAAGAAGCCCACTGGTCCAGAATTCCTTCTGGGATCAGCAGTTTGCACATGATGAGGCTTCTGCTGTCAAAAATAATTTTGTCACAGTTTTGTTGGAAGTCACTGGGTTGAGTATTTCCATGCTATCCCAGGAACTGATAGCTGGGAGGGCAGAGGATGAGGATACATCTGTGTAACTGTTGCATTTGCTGGTTCTGCTTATCTAATAAATAAACTGGTTTCTGACAGCTCCCAGTAAGTGCAGCTCCAGTGCTCTCTAGTGGTTAGTAGCAGTTAATTATTTTTTGCTGGTTTTAAACCAGAACTATGTTACCACTGGCTGATCTCAGTGCTACTTAAAAGTATCTTGATATTAATAGTGACATTTTTCTCTTCAGGATTTCTGGGACCTAGGAAAGTTGTTATAAAATATACATTTACAAGAAGCAATTATTTGAATCAGGGAACAATGAGATGTTGAAAATTCAACCTCAATAATATTAAGTAACAAACAGTAAAATTTGACATCATCCTTTTTATTTTAAAAAGCATGAAAACAGTACAAAGAGAAGAATGAGGAGATAACTAATAAGCAGCAGTCTGACCATAGAAAATATCCTGACTCTGTATTCTCTGTCAGCTGTACAGTAAGTAGGGATAATGATTCTTTAAAGTAATGTAACCAGCTTTACTCTAAGTCATAGGACAGAAGCAAGAAAGAACACATAGCATTCAGAAGACTTTAATACTGCTTACAGGCAAAACATAATATACAGAGAAACCCCTCAACCTAGTACAAAAATACCGTGCCCAGAAACTATATATTTGTTCAAACTTTTTTCAAAGATAAAAGAATACAAGTGGACACACTCAGTGATTGGTGACTGTGACTAAGATTTTTATTAAACCATAATAGGAATGTATATTAAAACTATTTACAGTGCATTTCACACTACATTCTTTAAGAGACACATGCAGGTGTCCCCCATGTGAATACAGAGAGGGCTCAAATTCTAACTTCAGTTCCATCTGTAAGGTACCTCAGGCATCAGCAGGAAGAGCTGAACACAGCAAAGAGCAGGTGAGGCAGGTGTTGCCAAGGTAAGAGTTTGGTCCCTCCTTGAAGGTAAAAAAGGTGGATTCGACCATTCTTTCACTTTCTATACAGCTCAATCCAACTCCCACTGAGGTAAGTGGGAATCTGTGTGACTGACTTTAAACAGGCATCAGAGCATGCTTTAGACCCTGGCATGACCAGCTCATGCTGTGAAAATAAGTGAAAACTGGCTATTCTACAGCATTGTCACATAAATACACATTTACAAACAGTGGTACTTAGATCTGAGTTTCTCTATGGAAACAAACGTCTTTATGTGGAAAATAAACTTTCCCATGCAACTTCCATCCATCTAGCAGTGACAAAGATAAAATATCCTGCTGGCACTGTTTGCTGTATTTAACAAGTGTCACTAATCACCAGGCCAGATTCTGAGAGGTTTCTTCTTCCTGTCAAAGTCCAAACTAAAAAGTCCAGCTTTCATTATTTACCATACTCTGGCCGAACTCATTCTTTTATTCAAGCTCCAATGTTCAAGTTTGTCTTTCAAATTAGTGCAAGTCCCTGAAGAAGTGCAGCAGGGAACTGTGAAATAAAGCTGAAACCTTGTGGAATGTGGAATCAAAGTGATTTGACATGAAGAGAAAAACCCACAGCATCACAGAGACAAGACTCCAAACTAAAGCCAATATATATATTTGCCCGAAATACCAGATCTTTATAAAACCTTTAAAAAATGTATGAATTTAATATCAGTGAGGCTTCTTTTTTTCCATAAGAACTCTCTGCTGTCTTCCTATGGAGAACTGCAAGGGACACCAACCAGATAACTCAGGCAACATCCCCGAATTTTATGGGACTAGGTCTGACTCTTCGTAAGTTTTCTGTGCAATGCATTGGAAAATTAGTTACCTGGGGATTTTGAGAAATCTAATTCATCTAAATGAATTAGACAGAGTTCTGATTTTGTCAGTTCATGCCACTGCCAAGTAAAATGCTTTGGATTGGAGGTGAAAAGTTTATCTTTACACGAATGAGAGTGGTACATAAAATCAGGCTTCAGTCCTCTCTTGGAAGGAGAGATCAGCTGATCATCAGTGGAATAGGTTGTTTACTTTTCTCACTAGCTCACTTGAAGATAAGAGAGTAATCTGCTCTTAACTTTAAGCTGCTAATTAACAATTAACACCATCTCCAAATTCAACATCACATTATTTTCCTCCCCTTTCTTTAATTTTGTGAGATAATAGAAAACCTAGATGTTCTACAGCTGATATTGGATGTGGGACTAACTTATTGGAAAAGAAGTTCTACCTACAGCTTAAGAACCTAGTTATTATTTTTAATTAGAAGAGGGAGGTTTAATCAGTAATTTTGTGTGTGTTTATACATATGACAAGTAATTTTTTTGAGAAGGAGAAAAAAAAAAACCAGAAAGAAAAGTGTACTTTAAACATTAAACTGTGCTGTGGAGTGAGTCTAAAAGAAAATATGTCCATATCTGAGATCAAGTAGGATACTAACTTAGATGCCTTCATTGAGACATTGGTGGGACAAATTCTGTACTTGAAGATTGAAATATCGAATTTGACAATGGCTTTAATAAACTTTAGTCTGAACTGACCCAGGGAAAAACTCCACTTCAGCTGGTTTCTTGTGTAATCCCCGCTGATTGTTTTAGCTAGACAGTACAAATTGGGGAGAAAATGTTTGAGACCTGACTAAAATCACTAGAAACACAACTCATGATGAAATGAAGGGCAGCTTGTGGCTGTAATCCACTAGCTGGGTTTGAAAATGTTGAATTTTAAAGGCAGTGAACTCCAAGCAGGAAACAGGCTGGCTTTTTTTTCCCCCCATATTGTCCCACATCTCCATTATGAAAGGAATGAGCAGTTTCTGCAAATGCTTCACACAAAGCTGACACAGAACCAGCACACTCTGACTTTGCCTTCAGGCAGAATTAAACACTATTTAAAAACGTTGCTCATGCTCTGAAATTTCAGGAACTACAGCAGTCTATGCTTTTATGGTTCTTAAACCAGTAGTTTAAAGGCTTTGGTTTTGTAGAAATACATACAGATACAGGTGTATTATGATAAATAAATGGTTTATTTACTAGGAACTGTATTTATACCTAAGTTCCAATCTCTGTAGTGGAAGAGATTCCGTGGGATAAATGTGTACAGATATGTAATTAAATATATGCACATACTCTATAACTGTCCATTGTAAGTGAACCTTTAAAAAATGTAATGTCATGCCCTTTTTTTCAAGTCAAAGGTATGAATCCATCACTCTTCTGTAGCAGTTATAAATTTAGTTATAATAAAGCTTTGCTGGACACACAATATAGCAAAGAAATACTGGGATATTAATGTAAAAGATGCTCAGTCACTACACTGTAATATTATCATAGTTATCTGCTGTGTTGTCACCATGAATTACCAGTCTCAACCATAATAGCAAGAATACACCTTTATATACATATAATTTATTCATATTTATATTAAATACGTATCTCATCAGTTAGTGTAATAATTATATTTCAGTATCTCAAGCACTCAAGGAGAAGACTATACAAGGACTATGCAAATCCTGAAGCAAAGTTTCCTATTCATCAAAAAGTACCTAAAAACTTTTGTTGGGGTGGGCAGGCTGCTGTCGTTTGCATATAAATACACATATGGAGCACTGCATAACAGTGGTCCTGGAATTCTGAATTATTATTGAAATCATATTTTTTTTTTTTTTTTTTTTAAATCTGTGTGAAGGAAATCAGGAGAAATACTTTTCTAGAAAAATGTTTTCAAATTCAGCTGCAATAATACATTATCGGTGCTCTTTAGAGAAGTCTGAGATGGGATTTAATCAGTGACAAATAATTTAGGTTGGCAGAAGTGCTGCTGAATGTCAGAATACCTTATTCTACGTTAAAAAAAAAATTAACTACGAAACTCAGTATCCTCAGACATTTTGAAACATTTGCTTTATATTTTCTTAGCTTCTGGTATAAATTATCTAAATGAAGAAATTGATAAAAAGGGGGGATTTTCACTTCTTTCTGACCAGCTCTTACAAGGGGAGGGGTTGATAATTCATTGCAGTTTCCAACTAGAATGTTCTGGATGATTGTGATAGAAATAAATGCCCATACTTCAAAGTACAATCCTAAGTGTGTTACTTTTGCCCAACACAATTGCTGATTTTAACCAGAGAATCATTATTACACATTAAAACCCCACACCATTCTGTGTGTGTCTGTGCAGCCAAAGTTACAGGTACTGCTGATCCATTTTAGACTGCTGACATTCATCTCCTGATCCTGTCTACACGAGGAATAGTACTCTCTTTGTTTTACTCTTTTGGGATCTCTCTCGTGTGCATATTTTCTTTAATTGGTCCCCAATTCACAACCATTTTTATTAATCATCTTCTTTTAAATAAAATACCAATGTTGGGGTTTTTGCTAGTGCAAGTTAATTGATTTCTTACTTTTCAGAACATTAATGCCTCATATACAAATGGCAAATCCCTGTAGCATTCTTGGCTATTTTTGCTTTTGGTACTCTTTTTTTTTCTAATTTTTTTAAGACGCTGTGATTAATCGTTGTTAACTAATGCTAAAAATGATTTTTAAGAGATGTTAACATAAAACTTCCTTCCAAGTGGTCATAGCCATTTCATAGCAACACTGGCCTAAAGAATCAGTCATGGATAGTCACCAGGATTGTGCCATTCCTGCATCTTTCTGTCTCAGATTGTCACCTCTTGCTCTTGCAGTCACGTTCTCTTCTGCCCGTGATCCCCTCTGTCGGTTGGATGATGTTAAAATCAACTTCCAAACGAAGTTAAAACCAGCAGATGAAAATGATCCTCTTCAGTTTCCATTTCTCTCTGTGCTTCTGGCAGCTTTCTATGGGAGCCATCCTTCCATCATCCTTCCATGGCAGCCTGTCAGTTATGCTGGGACATTTCAGCAGTCTTCGAGCAGTTTCCATTATTCATGGATAATTGTGACACTTCCACCACAAAACTCCTAAGACCCTCATTGCCTAGTATTTCACAAGGGTCTTAAAAATTTCTTCAAATATAATAAGACATTTGCTCAGACATCCATTTGATATGAAAAAAAAAACACCAAAATTGAACTACTGGGTGCATAAATTCTGAGGCTTTTCACCTCAGAGCCCAGTTCTGTCTTCTGAAGGAGGTCAGCATAGTATATGCTGGATTAGGCTCCCCAGAGCGAGTCCCAGTCTTCCCTCTGAGCCTCTGGGAAGAGAACAGGCGAGACTGCTCATGACTTTTATAACATCACACAGCAAGACTGGGAGAGGGAAAAGAAAAAGGTGCGAAATGCAGTAGTCTGTAAGATACTGGCCACAACATGATCACCAAACAACTATATACATCTGGAAAGTCAGGGGCTCTCGGGCACAGTCGAGTCACTGCACTAGTACCTTCTGCTGGAGCAGGGGGGCAAAAACCACCCTTGCAGGTCTTTTTCCATCTCAATCAGATGTAATGAAAGACACATACTATCTCTTGGCATACACACGGTCATGCTATATCTTGGAACGTGGAAAGATAATACAGCAGTGGCAAAACATAAGCCAGATTCATACAGTGTTCAGCAAAATGCAGTACTCCCCTATTACTATGTCTTCTATGTGAACTTAAGCTTGTGGTTGTTAAATCGGCATCTCAGTTCCGTTTGCCTTGGTTGCTCTCTCCATTAATCAGGTTCTTCTCTTGCTGTTCAGCTAAGGCTTGCCATTTCTGCCTGTTCTTTTTACAGCCATCCAGTAAAGGGGAGCAGGCCTCTGACACATGTGTTAGGGCCTGAAATAGATTAAGAACACGTAAAACAGATTGCATTTAATTTTTAATTGAAAATGAAGAGAACGAAACACATTTCTCGTATTTTTTCAGATTTCTGAACTCCGAGGATCGACTTGTAGATCATTCAGTTGAACTGCACTGGTTACTCAGCTAACACACGCCACAAAGCTTCAGTTCACTGGGATCTGACCTACTCTGAATAACACGGTAAGTCACATTCTTGCAGTGCTGGATTGAGAACTCATTTCTGTTTGCACTGTGTGTCAAATTCCTTCTGACTGGATGAAAGCTACGAAAGCAGTGAAAAGGCTGCCACTGCAAACCTGTTAATTGTTTGCTTTTATTGCGTTAGAACACTGGAGCGTGAACCCTGTGCTTGTTCATCTTAAAAGTAACACTGAAGTTTTGTGTATGTTTTATCATTTATTACTCCTTAAAAAAAACCCAAAATCTGTGTAAGCAAGTAATACCCCTTACTTGTACTCCAGTAAAAATAAACTCAAACCACAGCCCTTTCCTTGGATTTAGCATAGTCTTTTGGGTTTGTCACTACCTCAAAGGCTCCCCATCCTCTTCAGTGCTCTCTGCCCCTGCAGGTAAGTCACTCTCACTTCTCTGTCAGCTTAGGACACGAGCCTAGATAAAGTCCCAGACACTGTCAGCCTGCTCTATGCTGTTCCAGCTCAGGGGAGGCTTTAAAACAAGGTGACAAATAAAAGTGAGACACTGAAAGCTGAATCATAATTGAAAAGACCAGGAAAAAAAAAAAAAAAAGGTAAAACTCTCTCCTAATAAGAAAAACTGTAGAAGTTCAGGAACTGTGGGCCTTCAAACCTGCTCAGGTGTTCTGTTCAAGGAGTTTTCTGTTTGTACAGTCTGTACCTTTGCCACCTCCACCTACCTCCACCTCAGGCTCCCCGGCAAAGGCTGCCTTATTTTCCTGACAAACAATTTCTACAGCACAAAAACATCTGACTTTCAGGGACAGTAGGTGGTAGCTCCCACTCCTTCCCCTATCCTTGTTTCCTTCCAATTAGTGGATGTGGATTCTTTTTAGAAAATTTTATTGTTTAAGAGAGAAAAATGCAAGTAGTCACCTTCTTGCTCCCACTGGAAGATTGTTACGAGTTAGGCTATGTGTTCTTCACCTCAGTCCCTGTAAAATGCTTTCTACAGTCCCAATGAACAGACTTTCACTCTAAGGCTTTACTGTTTTAAAAAATAAATCAAAAATCATTATGCTGTGTTTCACGCTGTATTTGACCAAGCAGCTTTTCACACAGTTTGTGACCAGGACAAAAAACCATTTCAATGAATTCTCTCATGCACTGCTTTTGTGTGAGATGAAAGAAAAAAAATGGGATGGGAAAAGTTAAACTTGGGTAAGTTTAACAAACATAGCATATCACCTTTTGTATGAAGAATTCTGAATTGCTTAAAACTCTTAAACAACATTTCTATCAATGCACTACCTGGATACCATTAGTTTTGTGAGTTTCCCTGATGATCACAGCAGCTCACTGGAGCTGCTGGAATCCAGAATATAACCCAGGGATATAACACCAGTTGCACAGAGCACAGCAATTACCACTAGGTTTAATAAAATGATAACAAATTACATTAATCAGACAAATATACCACTAATTATAAATACTAAAATAATAATTTCTTCAACTGAATAATGAACAATATGTAATAAATAATAAAATATTTTTACCTCAGTGCCTAGTTTTTTATTTGATTGTTATTCTAATTTTAAATCTGTGTCTACTAGTGAGCAGTTCTGGTTTTAGGTATTTGCAGTTCTTTCTTAGGCACCGTACCTCATACAGCTGCAAACAAACAGCATCTATGAATCCAACCTGCATGCTGGGAATTTTGTTTTTCTTCTCTCTGTTCATTAGATCCTGTAGGTAAGAAGTAAACAAGCTCTGTGTTTAAATGCATTAAATAAAAAACCCAACCAAAACCAAGGAGACAGGCTGCAATTAAAAAGCAGCACCTTAAACAGCACAGCAAGCTCAGCCCAGTGGGGTATCAGTAGAAGTGTTACAATGCAGGTAATTTGACTGCATGACTTCCCTTAGGAGATTTGCTTTGGATTAACAGAGCCCAAATAACTAGAAACACAGGCAAACTTACTGGGTTTGGATAGGCTGCAAATAGGTACCAATTCAGGAATGTATTTCCTAGACAATTTAGTAATACTGATTTGAAAGAAACAATAGTCTGTTGTTCTGGTTCAGAACACACTGCTGGTGTCTGAGAACCACAGAAAAGAAGACAGGGAAAGAATTTATCCTATATTCTGGTCAGTGGGAGAAACTGTGGATTTTGAAGTGCTATTTCCAGAAGCCATTCTGCAAGAGGTGATTCTGCCACTTACTGTTGGTTCTATGTTGAGTTCCTTCCGCTCTTTATCTCCTTGATCAAAGAACTCAGTAGCTACAAGCTCAGCAATCTGTAAGAGATTTCACACATTGAGAGCTCTAATGTGGATATATCAAATTGGGGACCCCCCCCAATGAGACTCCAGCTCTGCATTCCACCACTGCCTTTGCAGTAAGGGTTGGATGGAGGAAGCAGAAGCTGTTACGCAGTTTGTATTTAGTAAATCTTAAAAATGAAGCACATACCCGTTGCTGGACTGGCCATGGTTTGGTTATGGCTGATAAATCACAAGCAGTCATCAGCATGGCTCTGTAGAACAAACAGAGAGAAATGTATGAGCTACTGTATGGTGAAATGCATGGAGACACCAAGGCAAGTGATCAGTAAAACACAATTTCAGGGAAGATCCAAGTCAGAAAAGCAACTGAAATTAAAGCAGAGTTATAAATGTAGCCCAGGCCTGATGCTGTGGTAGATGTCTCGATTCTTAGTCTTCTTTTTTCTTCATTGCCAGTAAGGAATCAGCGTCAAACCAAACTGCCTGTCCTGATTCTTCAGTTACAGGTTTCAGAAATTCACTATTTAAGCATAAAGTATCAAGAGCAAAACAGCATGGTTCCTAGACAGGGACCCTACACTCTTTAGGAAGAACAAAAATGCTCACGTAACTTCATATGATACTTAGTAAAGTTTATTCCAGAGGTTGCAGACTTAGCAGTTCAGGCCCAGGGAGTTGTGCAGTGCCTATATGACAGTGCCAGTTGTACAGGCCCAGAGTGCACAGACCTGCTCACAGTAACATGGCATGGGAAATGGGTACCTAATAGTATCAGCTGACTTCTTAATCATTCTGCTTTTACTTACAAAAATAGCTCCTTCTGTGTGGGGTCTTCCCAATTAAACTGCTTCTTCCTTAGAAGTTCGAAAAATTCTCCTCTCCTCCTTTAAAAGAAGTTAAAAGATTTTGCAGCGTGATGACATGATCCAAAGATCCAAACATCCAGCCAAACTTTCCTCTGACTTACTTTATGTACAGTGCTAGGTCTGTGGCAAGAATGGCTTGTTTTATCATTTTCAGTGTAGCCTTGTATTCTTCAATGGAAAGGTTGCTGAGAATCTGATTTCCCTTCAGAAAAAAAGCCAAAAAGCAGGGTTATCAGCAAAATGGGCAGCAGTACACCAGTTTGCTAAAATGTCTCTTAAGCTACTAAATCATTTTGAGTTGCTAGCTGATGTCATTCTTTTACCCTGCTTCCTTTTGCAGATTCCCCAATTTAAAAATAAAAATTCCAGTCTTCTTGAGTAATGGCAGAAAGCTGCACAGCAACAGCATCAAGATTGACTATTAAAAATGAAACTGTAAACAGAGCAACATCCAAGCTCTCAAGTCCATTTCATTCATCAAAATTAAATTTGCCACGAGCTCCACCAAAGCATTTTTCTTTCCTCTTCCTCCCCCTCCCCGAAGCAGAGGAACTGTGACAGATCCCAGTACCTGTCTATGCACCTCTAGTAAATAAAAATATTTTTCTTTTGTTTTTTTTTTGAAGCAGCATAAATAACAAGCTGTTAGACAGAAATAAAAGCTCAGCAGCCTCCTGTTAAACCAAAGCTGGTGAAATGGCAACTTGCCTCCCCTTTTTTCCCATATTTGCCCATCTGAATAGGAAGCAATCATTACAATACAAAGGATGCCAGAAGTACTATACCTGTGGTGTGAAAGGAGCAGTGCTTTGAAATGATTGTGCACACTGAATAACTGGGCTTCAGAATTAGTTTAATACCATGAAACAAGAAGAATGTAATTTTATTTGCATATTTACTTAACTTAGGTTTGGCTTCACTTTGGAATGTCAACATTAGCAGTGTTTGGTTTGGTCTCATCAGGGCTGCTTTGTGTATGTGTAGGCTGGAATGTTTTTTGGAATGAGAGCAAGGACTTGGGTTTGTTTGGTGGTTCGTAAGAGGTCATGAAATGGCAACAAAGCCTTTTGTTTCCCTTGGTCCAAGGAAGCAGGTACCCGAAAGGATATTAGCAAGGCTTCCCTTATCAGGCAACACTTGGAAAGGTTTGGTGGCGCTCAGCAGTGGAACTGGGATTTCGAAGCTGCTGCATTTGCTTTCTTTACCCAAAAAGGAATAAAGAGCACTTGAGAATGTATAAGGGTGGGATTCTATCCAGAAGCTAAAAATAGAAAGTAGAACAGTTTCCTTCAGCATACAGAAGAATGTGGCACTCACTGGGCTATTCAGGATCATAAGGCATTGATCAAAATGATGATGCTCCATGATTGAGTGGCAGTACAGCTGGGCCAGCGGATGTTCGCTTCTGAGGAGTAAAAAGACCCATTAGATGGAGAAATCAAATTAAACATCCAGAAATAACTTCCCTTTTAATGTCCTCTTCACAGGAGCGTGGATAAAAAGACAGTGCTGTTACTTTGTCAGAGCACTGACAGCTCTAGTTTTCTGCCTTCTGTACCTGTTGAGATCAGCTGCACGCAGGGAGGGAGAACGTAATACAAGGTTTTATAAACAGTTCTTGTATGAAAAGCAAAGGTAACGAGAAGAGTTCATTCACAAGCAAAGTTTAAGTGACAGTTTTGGTTTCTCTAACATCCTAAACACCTGTCTGGCATATTTAGTCAGCTCAACTGCTGGGCTTGTAAATAATAATGCAAATTTAATAGGAAACCCACTGATACCAATGGAAAGATTCCTGCTGACCTCAGTGTACTGCAGTGCAGGGGCCCAAAACGTTGATCAAGTAATTTCCTAGTGTTAGTAACTACTGGTGTTTCATCACCACTATCTTC